TCACTTATATGTGGAATTTAGTAGACAAAATAAAAACAGAGGCATAAATACATGGAACAGACTGACAGCTGTCAGAATGGGGGAGTCTGGGGAGTTGCATGCAAAAAGGTAAAGGAAACAATGCTCAGAGCTGGGGGGAGGCCTGCGCCCGGGATCAAGCCCGCAACCTGGGCATGTGTCCTTGGCTGGAATCAAACCCGGGACCCTTCAGTCTGTAGGCCAACGCTCTATCCATGAGCCAAACCAGCAAGGGCAAAACCTGTATGATTTTGTGAACCAATGGTACCCCAATAAAATAAACAAACAAACAAACAAACAAACAAATAATTGAAAGCAGCTTAACTCACACCCAAAGTTAATGTTACTAAGTCCTTGCTGGGTTGGGGGAGGGATTATCTAGGCATTTTTTCCATATTAGCTCTAACTCTAATTGATAAGGAAACCACTTTGCTTTTGATCATGAATCCTCTGTTTTCTTTGTTGGAGAAACTTTTTAGATATAGATATTTCAATTGTATTTATCTGAAATTGAAGTCAAAACAGAACCTTCTCTTTTTCTATTTGGCACTCTCAGTGTCCTGCCCTTAATCAGTATTTCTTTATTCTTCTCTATCTCTGATTTCTCTTACTACTCTCAACATCACCTTTTGCTTGACAAGGTTGACTCATCCTGGCAATGCATTGGAAAACTATCACCAGATTCCTGGAATTAAGGAAAGCAGCTATAGCCTAGTTCAGAACCATGGACAGAAGCCAAACCTTCCTTTATACAGGCTCAAGGAACTTAGTTCTATGAGAACTATCCTCCAGAGACCTTAGGTGACTAGAGAAGAAAGGGAACAAAGGTCAACATCTCCTCTTTCACACTGTCTTTCTTTCCCCTTATTCCACCACTGCTTTATAAACTCTTCCCAATTCTGGTACAGACAAAGCTAGTACCTTGAGACTACAAAGCAAAAAATACATAAAATGACCTTGAAACCATATTCATCATACAACCAATAAAACTGTTATTACAAATGACCAGGGAAGGGTGAACTTATGTCATATGGATAAGGTGTATCATTTTTATTAATAAAGTGGTTCATATTTGGAGAAGGCACTTGTCTGACTTCATTTACTATTAGTTATTAAAGTAATTTCATCAAACTGACTTATCAAATTCTGGGTAGCCATGAGCACGCATCACTCAAACATCCCTCAGAGAAAATCTCCTCAGAGAAGTGTAGCTGGATGACAGCCTTCACCTACAGAATACACTGCAGCATTAACCCAAGGCCACATTCCTCAAGCTGCTCCCAACAATGATTGAGCACATGGAAGTAATAGAAATGTGGGACTTCTGCTCTATGTGGGATGCCTCTAACATGCAATCTTCTTCTAGGACTCCTCATAGATTTGACTGGCACTTTCTTGTAGCCTCATTTAAAACTTTTCATGCCCAGTCCTTCCTTCTCTCTCCCCTTTTTCCTCTCCCAGATGTCAGACCCATGTCATGGTCCAAAGGCTCTTCTTGCCTGCTCTTGCTGTCTCTCTACGTCATCTCTGGGATGTTTCCTCCAAAAAGGCTCTTGTACCTCTCTAGCGCCATTATGGTGTGTGCTTCTAGTATGCCCTTCAGCTTACATATTTAACAAAAGTTACCAAGCTTCTCTAAAACTACTAGTGGATGTAAAATGTTAAATTGAATAATTTCACTGAAACATGCATCCATCCAGTCTTCTCTCTCTTTCAGTTTCCTGTTTATCTTTTCTCTCTACATCTCCCAATTCCTTTTCTAGAACCTGTCTAAATTTACTGTGATACATGGGCAAAGTTTGGCAGAATAAATTTTGGCATGCTTTTTTCCCCCCAGCAACATTTATAAGAAATATATGAAGAGATCAGCAGAAACCAGAAAACAGCATGGTTAGCTTCATTATCCTATTTCAATGAGTATAGACTATTCTTTCATTGACACTTGAGAAAGGGGAGGGAATGATGACCGTGGATTGGTTCTGAACTGATCAGGAATGTTGAAGGTAAAAGAGTGAACTATAAAATAGTATTGTCAAGAAGAAGCAATGACACCCTATTTTGAAAGTTTGCTCCAGTCTTAGTATCCCAGGACTGTAGACATTATAATATTTAGAAGAATTGTAATAATATTTCATCTTATTAAAAATAATTTTTAATAAAGAATCAAATCTTTCTGAAAGAGGTTGTGATTGAAGGCTTTACTTAAGGGGAGGGTATCGTCAAGATTCTTTAAGGGGAAATGCAGATTCAGATAATGACAAATTGTCCTAATGGCCCCCTCCCCATAGCATCAGAATTTTAAACTCCCTTAGAAAGTCCTTAAAATGAACAGTCTCTGAAGAAAACCATGTGGAAAGGATCTTTTCAAAATGCAGAGATGACCTATTTTAGCTAGGCATTTACACAGCTTGCACTTAACAAAAACATGAATCTAGACTAACTCTGTTGCTCTGACAATAATAAAGTCCATATTCAGACACGAGTTAGGAAAGCAAGTTGTTATGAAATGAAGGGTGCCATTGGCAAGGAGGAGTTGCAGGAACTATAAGACCAGAAACTCTATTATCCTCCAAGATCTTGACATACAACATTTTTTTTCATAAGTAAATTGAAATTCAACTTAATTATTTTCTATGGTAATCTGTCATTCATTTTGTCAAGTTATCATGTCTGGTAAACTTGGAGAGACAGTTTGTGTGAGATAGGGACAAGGGAGTAATCCATTTTTCACTTGACTTTTCTATAGATACTTTATGATAAGCTTTTATGTAAGCTGGTTTTCTTAAATTTAAATCGTTGTGATATTACAGTAAGACTGTGAGTAAATTCTTCACCTATATAAAGACATAGAAAGGTTTAAGACATAATAACACCTTAATTACTCTTACTTGAAAAAAAATGGTATATGTTATTTTCCAGGAGCTTTAAACTTAAAATTTTATATGTTCATTTAGGTGGATGTACTTAACAGAATATTCATTTTAGAAGAATAAAAGTATTATAAATATAACTGAAAGTATTTATTTGCCTAAAAACTCCCTAAAATATGCATCTAAATCTTGTTTGTATTTATATTGAATACAAATGTGTTCAAATGTCAACTCTAATAAAGCAACTAATCTGCCTGCCTATACTATGAATAAGCTTTAGTCCACCCATAACAAATTAACAATTTGTTATACGTTTGCTGCAGTATCATTTACAATAATACCACCTATAAATATCCTTAAAAATCAATAGGAAAATGAACAAATAAATATTACATAAATATTTTAAAATATTTGCATCACTTAGAAACAAGGAAGTGAAAAGTTTCCCAAGACATGCTGTTAGATGGAAAAAATAAAAGGAAAGGGAAAAGGAAACCATGAGTTGCAGATACAATATAGCACAGTAAGACTCTGGAACTAGACTAACAGGGTTTGAATATTGATTTTGTCACTTCCTGGCCGTATGAAGGGGATGTTTGTTTTTTAAAAACTATTTTATACATAGGTGCTCTCATTTGTAAAATGGAAGTCAAAATAACACTTACCTCATAGGGCCGTTGTAAGTATCAAATAAGTCATTATACATAACACAATTGTAAAAGTACCTGGTACAAAGTCAACACTAAACTAGTGCTTGTTTATTTATACACAAAATAGCCTAATTTATGCTAAATATATAACGATACACAATATAAAACAATTTTCTTTGAGCTTCGATATGTATGCAAGCACACAGAAAAGGTCTGAGAACATCAATGTCAAACTGATACCAATATATAATTATGAGCATTCAAGGCAATCTTTTATTTTGTTTGCGTATTTTACATATAGAATATAATTCATACGTTATTTTGTGATTAAATTTTAAATACTTTTGATCCATCCATTAAATACCACTATAAAAATGTTAGTGGGGATTACATTCATTAACACATTGACATAGAAAACTGTTTACACACACATCACTAAGTACAAACAAGCAGATCAAAGTTAGAATTAACTGTATGAATATGAACACATTTAGTAAAATTATGTGTTTGTATTTGTGTATGGAATGTTAATGTTAATACCTAATCTGGTTAGGTGATTTTGATATAGAGTCTTTGTATATAGATACACATATACATAATTATACATATATATTTTTTTAAAAAACACTCTAAGAGCTACTTTATTGTGAAAAAAGAAACCAGCAGAGAGGCTATCTAATTATACCACATGTAACATCCTGCATTCAAAATACATGTGTTGAGAGCACAGCCAAGTACTACTGATGAAAGGAATACTTTAGAAAGGTTACGAATGTACTTACCCACCAAACGCCTGGAGCGCAGAGAATTTGGAAGCATCCAAATCATTGCCACTTACTATTCGAGCCTTAAATAAAACATGAGGAAGAAAAAGAAAGAAAAGAAAACAGACTTTTAGCATACAGTAACTGCATAGAGGGGAATTTGGGACATGGGTCAACTGCACTAGACACATAACACCTGGTATGACAAATGCTAAGCAGGGTCAGCTCCAAGTCAAAGCTACATGTTTTTGTGAGCGGAGGTTTTGAAATGAGCCGTCAGCATTTAAACAAAGGCACTGGCAGAGTCCAGGAAAGTAAATCATTACAAATACTGTTCGCCCTTAAAACTCAGTATATGCAGTGAAGATCATGAGTCAGTCCAGGAGATTATGATTAGCCAGACTTAAGAACAGGTGCTGAGTTTGACCGTAGCAGACCCCTAGGTTGGCAAGTGTAAGCTAAAGAAGCGCAGCTGGCAAGGTGTAACCTCTTCATAAATGCAACATATCGGGGGCACAATTACAGGACAACCAAAGGATGGAAAGCTGTGAAAACATGCACATTTCACAACTAACACAGAGGAACCAAAACAGGTCTATGTCACAAACAAACATGTACAAAAGACAAGATCCCTCAGCAGGGAAGAAAATGCATGATTTAAAACCTTTTCATCCACAGAACTGCTATCTGAAAGAGAATCAGGAAGAGAAGGGATAAATGTTAGATGGAGTACTTTTCAAGAAATCACTTAAGCATGCACATGAACAAAGTGTTACTATGTTACATTATTTCAAATCATAAATGAACAGAATCTCAAGGTTGAACTCCAAGGGGAGATGGCTAGTAGGTCCTCATAACTTCAAAGAGTTGAAAAATGTGCCAGAATGCTTGAAAAGTATCACAGGGTGATCACGGGATTTAATGAAAAACAACGTGTCATACAAAGTAAAGAACACAGTTGAAGAGTCAGAAGTCCTAGGCTCCAGCTGAGGTTCTGCCACTTACTAAGCACACTGGGCACACCACCAAATTCTCTGGAGTCTATGCCTAACTTTCAAAAGGCCCCTGATACGATTCCTATTTGCTTCCAAACTTTGCTGAGAGGGTCAATGAGATCCATATATTCAAAAGTAAACCTCGGACGACTAGATTAGTTGAGGATATTTTACTAAGGGGTTATTTATTTATGGATTCTCATATCAGAGAACCTAAGAGCTACAAGAGTAATTAAATACATGCCATTTTGTAAATAAGAAAACTGATGCCAGAAGGGGGTAAGTGATTTGATTAAGATCAAAGGCTAGTAACGGGCAGAAGTGGGACAAATCCAAGGCCCCTGACCCCCCATATGCTGCCCTTTAGGTCCAAGGTTTCAGGTGTGTTGAACAGAACAGAGAGGGTTGGCTGGTCCACACTTCTCCAGTGAAATTTTAGATAAACCACAAGGTCAACATTTTTTAATTTCAACAGTTCAAGGGCCCAAGTAGAGAACTATATACTAATAATATTTTGTTTTTTTAGAACTCAAGTCTAAATCTTCCCAGCTCATCATGGCATGATCCAATTCCACCTTACAGAGTATTATTGCTCCTAAACTTATTAATTCAGCTTCACTTATTACCATAAAGCTGAAACTACTTCTCTATGAATACAAGTTGGCAGAAAGATGGAGCCAGAGTGACCTTGGGTACGTGTAGTCCAAACCCCTCATTTTTCTAGATGAATGACAGAGAGATAAAGATTTATCCAAGTTCACAGAGTTCAGTGATGACTTTTATTGATGAAAATCTGAAATCTATTTGTTTTCTTGAATCATTAAGTATAGAATAATTACTATAGCTAAATAATTTTGTTCAACTTTTAGAGATTTTACAATATTTCAGGGTTATATCCTTGAAGACAAAACAACGTAAGCACAACATAAAGTAATACTAGACCACTCTTATTTATGGCCATAAATGTTTTAAAATACTAAATAAAATATAAAAAATAAAATTCATCACTATTTCTGAAAAAGAATTATCATATCATATAGATTTTACTTCAAGCATGACAAAACCATGGAATAACTAGTTTACATTAGGGCATATCAACTGGTCAGAAAATATATATCTGCATTTCAGTAGATCCCAAAAAGTCATTTGATAAAATTTCACAACCTTGTGATTTTTAAAAAATATAAATTGGAATGAATTTTTCTTAAGTTTAATATGTTTTTTAAAAATAAAAGTTATTAGAGTCATCAACTTCGTGTGAAATATTAGGGCATTCCTATTATTATTAAAAACAAAACAAAAATACCTACTATCATTAATTTAACAGATTTTTGGAAATTCTGACCAACATATTAAAACATGAAATAGAAAAAAAAACAATATAAGTATTAAAAGACAGGGTGCAATGTTGTTGTTATTTTCAGGAATTACAATTTTAAACCCAGAAAACAAACAAACAAAACCCTGATCAGCTATTAGGGTTATTAAAATAGTTATAAAAGTGAATATATATAACCAGTTCATAAACATAATAAAACAATAATAGTATGTTATTTCACACATACATTATCAGCAACTAGCTTGAAAAAACAATGACAGGAGATATGATTTCAAATATTCAATAGTTGACATCTCCCACTGAAAACTGATTTCTATTCCAATAACTGGTTTTTATATCAACCATCTCACTAAAATAAGGATAATCCAAATAAAGTCATCAATTATTTTTCAGCATCTGATTCTAATCATACATTCCAGTTCTTTCATTCAATGATTAATTCAATGTTTTATTCATTCACTGAACACATTTTTATTATCAACCAACCCTTTTTGTTCATTTCCACTCTTTTTTTGTCTACCTGTGATATTTCCCCCTTGAAACCTTTCTAAAATACAGGCATGATCACATATCTTCCCTTTTTAAAACCCATCAATGTTATCCAATGCCCACATGAGAGAAAATCAGATTTGTGTATACTGCTGGCTGATGGCTGGTCAGACCTCATTCACAACCTACCTATACTTTTGTCCCAGTTAAATTCTTGCCCTTTCATGTTTATGCCATGCTCTTTGATACCTGTGTGCCTTCGTATTTTCAGTTTCCTTTCCTAAAACAGATGCTCTTCCTTTTCAGCTAGCTAATTGCCAGTCTGCCTCCAAAACGTAATTAAAGCATAACCCCTCTGTACACTGTGCATTCTTCCTCTTGGTTAATTCTTACCCTTTGCCGGTTTCTTATCTGCAATCCTCCTAGATACAAGCTCCTCGATTATATTAATGATCTTTTCTTAACTTCTACTACATTTCTGAAATATAGATTGAAGGGCGTACGGGAGGAGGCGTCTGGCCGCTGGGCTCTGGGATCCCTCCGCGCCCGCCGGCTCCGAGTGC